ACCGAGGGGCGGGGCGGGACAGGCACGGGGGACGGAGCTGGGCGCGAGGGGCGGGCCCGGCATGAGGGGCGGGGAGGGCCTTCCCTCCTCCTCCCTCTCGCGCTCTCGCGGGGTGCACACGCCTTACCCGCTCTCAGCCTCTCCAGAGCTGGGCTCCGCTCCCGGAGCAGCAGACGGCCCCTCTCCAGCAGCGTCGGCCACCCACCGGCTCCATCTGTCCCTCCTCAACCGTGGTGGCGCTTGCAGGTGCTCCAGGACCCGGACCGGAGCCCACTCCAGGACCAGGACCTGCCCCATGGCCGCCGTCACTACCCCTTCGGAGGCTTTCCCGAGAAGCGCAGCTGTTGCCGCCGGGCCCTGCAGTCTTAAAGTGGTAAAGGCCTTTTGTTGGGGCCACCTCTTTCTTGTGAATCAGGCACTTGGAGCCCACCCACTTTAAGGCCAGAAAAGTGAAGCGCGACCCAGAGAGCCAGGTTTGAGGGAAGCCGCGAACTAGGTCTGTCATTTGCTTTCCTCTAGGTTTTACGTTATTTCTTAAAAACAAAAACAAACAAACAAACAACAACAACAACAAAAAACCCCTGCTTATTTCGTGGCTTAGAGTGGAAACCACCGCGTATATGGGGATTTGAGAACGTTGTGTGCAGAGCGAACGTTCATAAGACTTAAGAAACTTCCAGGAAAAAACAGCACCTTGCTAGCTCAGGACTGCTGTGAGCTGCTGCACTCCTGGTGGCTCGCCACTCCGGGCACGCTCCCTGGTGGCTTCTGGAGATTCCAGAGCCCGGGTAGGAGACGGGGAAAGAGACCGGAGGAGGCTAGGAGGACCATTTGCGCCTGCAGCTGCGGGGCTTCTTCCTGGAGGAAAACGAAGCCCCGGGGCAGAGTCGGTACCCGAGAGCTGAGTATAAACAGATAGAAGAGCAGATACTAAAAAGTGGAGAACGAGGGATATGTGCTGGTAGTTGAAACCCTGGAGTAAGTGGAAGGAAGCATAGGGTCTCCAACCTCTAGGATATAGACTGTAACAGAGTCTCTCTCCTCTCGCTTGCTGTGTGTGTGTGTGTGTGTGTGTGTTCGCGCGCGCGTGTGCGTGTGCTTGTGTGTGTGTGTGCGCGCGCACACGCTCATACCAGCCATGAATTAATGTTTCTCCTTGCCCGTGCCCTATTCAGAATGTGTTGTTGTTTTCTTGAGGATAGCCATTTGCACTGGAGATGGACTCTCACAGCAGATTCAATCACAACAGTTTTAAATTACATCTCTTTCATGGCTAATGATGTTGCCCTCCTTAAACATATCCATTCATGGCTCTTCTTTTGAGAACTCTGTTCTGTGTCTTTAGCCTGTTTTTGTATTGTTTGTATTGCTTCCTTTCTTCTTCCATCCCTTTCTTCTTTCTTTTTTAATTTGTTTAGACAGGTCTTACTGTTTAGCTCTGGTTGGTCTAGATCTCATCATGGAGACCAGGCTAGCCTGGAATTTGCAGAGATTCTGCCTTCTGTCTTTCAGGGACTGGGATAAAAAGTATGTACCACTATGTCAGCCTCTTTTTTTTTTTTTTACATTTCTTTTCTTCCTTCCTTCCTTCCTTTCTTTTTTTTAAAGATAAATTTATTATGTATACAGTGTTTTGCTTGTATTCCTGCAGGTCAGAAGAGGGCACCAGACCTCATTACAGATGGTTATGAGCCACCATGTGGTTGCTGGGAATTGAACTCAGGACCTCTGGAAGAGCAATCAGTGCTCTTAACCTGTGAACCATCTCTCCAGCCCCTTTCTTTCTTTCTTTCTTTCTTTCTTTCTTTCTTTCTTTCTTTCTT